GCCGTAAGGGCGGCACGCGAAGCCGCAAAGGGCGGCGACAGGCCGTTACGGGCGACGCTAGCGGCCGTAGAGGACGGCGCCGAGCCGTTAGGGCGGCGCGAGGGGCCGGGAAGGGCGGCGCCGGGCCGCGAAGGGCGGCGACGGGCCGAGAAGGGCGGCGACGGGCTGCGGAAGGGCGGAGACGGGCCGCGAAGGGCGGCGACGGGCTGAGTAAGGGCGGCGCGAGGGGGGGCCGCTAGGGGCGACGCGACGGGGCCGAAGGAGGCCTAGGGAGGGCGCGACGGTAGAGAGGGCACACGAGGCGCGACTCGGGCCTAAGCGGAGCGCGCTCCGGGCAAGAAAAAAAAGGTTCGTAGTGGTGGGCCCTAGGAATCGTTCCCGGTAGGGAGCCTGCTCGATACCATGAGAAGAAACGAGGATGAATGAACTATGAAAGAAGTGGGTACAGGTACTAACCCTAATTGGGTTGTACCCCCTATGGGATACCCCACTACAGCCTACACAATATGTATAAGCTACAATGTTCCGACATGTTTCACACCAACGAGTATTTCGAATTTGATGGTAATGTCGCCAACCACAAACTGCCAAAACTCTCCTTTTTGTCAACCAATCAATATAAGAACAAACTTGAGCCCACCAATCACCATGATTCCTTATCTCCACGTCAGCTCCTACCCTAGAACCTCTCGAATGTTCTCCCAGCCCACCCTTCTTCTACCTCCTTCTACCTCCCAGTCTTTCGATCAATTTAGTATAGCATCGTGGCTCATTTTCACCTTCCTGTTCACATCAATCTCCAAACCCAATCCAGATCTGTTTCTCAACCGTCGTCCTTTTTTCTTAGTCGCGCTGCTCTTCATGCCAGCAACGTTTTCCGCCCTAGACCAGATCCGTGTTCCTTTCCTATGCTAATCTTGTACTTTCCTAAAGTCTTCTTGCATCATTTTTTTTTTCTCTCTTTGCTGTGCCAATGTACAGGTTGAAGTCACGATTCAACTGGAGATCCGGAGTTGCTTTACAACCGTATAGCGGGTGTTCGAAGTCGCTGAAAAGGCCTTTTTCTGGTACGTGGCCATCTTGTTGCTCTCCATGTTTTTGCTCTGCGCGGCCATTTCGCACGTTTTTTTAAAATGTGATGCTCCTGCCTAACTCTTGAAGATGTGCTTACCGTGCTGTGCACGGAATGGAGGGCAACGCTGGGAGTGCGTTCTGTCTTGGTCGATTTATGTCGCATTATGTGCAGATGTGTATTTTTTTAACGTCGTGAGTGTCAGAACACATAGCTTACTTGTTTGTGTAGGCTATAGTGGGGTATCCCATAGGGGGTACAACACAATTAGGGTTTCCTATTTGTACTCACTTCGTTCATACTCATTTCATTCTCGTTCAATTCTTCTCATGGAATCAGAGCAGATCCCCTCCTAGGGACTGTTCCTAGGGCCCACCGAAGCGCGCCCCGAGGCGCGCGTTCTTTTTTTTAGCGACCCTGCGTGTCGCCCCTACCGTCGCGCTCCCGCCGCTCCCTCCTCTTACGGCCGCCCGCCCTAGTGCCCTGACGGCCGCCCGCCCTAGCGCCCTGACGGCCGCCCGCCCTAGCACCCTGACGGCCGCCCGCCCTAGCGCCAGAGCGCCAACCGCCCTAGCGCCCTGACGGCCGCCCGCCCTAGCGCCCTGACGGCCGCCCGCCCCAGCGCCCGAGCGCCGCCCGCCCTAGCGCCCGAGCGCCGCCCGCCCTAGCGCCCGAGCGCCGCCCGCCCTAGCGCCCGAGCGCCGCCCGCCCTAGAGCCCTGACGGCCGCCCGCCCTAGCGCCCGAGCGCCGCTCGCCCTAGCGCCCTGACGGCCGCCCGCCCTAGCGCCCGTGCGCCCCTCGCCCAAGCGCCCTGACGGCCGGCCGCCCGCCCTAGCGCCCGAGCGCCGACCGCCCTTTCGCCCTTACGGCCGCCCGCCCGAACGCCTGAGCGCCGCCCGCCGTCGCCCCAACGCCCTAGCGCCCGACGCCCGCGAGCCGCCCGTCGCAGCCGCCCGTGAGCTCCCTGAGCCGCCCGCGCCGCCGTCCCTGAGCCGCCTGTGCAGCCGCCCGCGAGCCGCCAGTGAGCCGCCCGTCGCGACACCAGCGCCGCACGAGCCGCCCGTACAGCCCAGCAGCCCGAGCCGCCCGAGCCGCCCGCGCCGCCCGAGCAACCCGAGCCGCCCGAGCCGCCCGAGCCACCCGAGCCGCGCGAGCCGCCCGAGCCGCCCCAGCCGCCCGAGCCGCCCGAGCCGCCCGAGCCGCCCGAGCCGCCCGCGCCGCCCCAGCAACCCGAGCCGCCCGAGCCGTGCCGCTGTTCCTGAGCTGTGTTCCTCTGCTGCTGCACTACACGACTCTCCCAGCCCGGTGAGACTTTCAGCTGCTGCCATGGCCACCCCCAATGTCCTTACTTTTGACGCTGAGGGGAGGGCCATTGACTTTGCCGTCTGGATTGAAGACCTGCAGCTGTACTTACTATGTGATGCGATAGATGAGGTCTCTCTCTTTGACTTTGTCTCTGGCGCTGTCCCTGCCCCACCTGCTGATGCTGACTCTGCCGTTCGCTCCAAGTGGGCAACCCGCGATGCTGCTGCACGTCTTGCTGTGCGTCGCCACCTCCCTTCCTCTGAGCGTGCCCACTTTAGTCAGTGCAAGACCGCTCAGGCCTTGTACGACGCTGTAGTTGCACGCTACTCCTCCCCTTCCTCCGCTACCCTTAGCCGCCTCATGCTACCGTTTCTCTTCCCTGACCTCGCCTCCTTTCCCACTGTTGCTGACCTCGTTACCCACCTCCGTGCTAGTGACACCCGCTACCGCGCTGCCCTTCCTGCTGAGTTCCGCGCTGCGAACCCTCCTCCCATGTACATCACTCTCTACTTTCTCGTCACCCGTCTCCCTGAGTCCCTTCGTGCCGTTAGGGACCAGTTTCTCTCTGTCTGTCCCACCACTCTCACTGTCGATCTCCTTGAGGAGTCCCTGCTAGCGGCTGAGAAGAGTATTGTCGCTGTAGGGGCCTCTCGGGGTGACCCTCGCACCCCCATCTTTGAGGGGTGTGGTCCTTCCCCCCTGCTGCCCTCTGTCGCCTCTGCCGCTGCGGCCGACCTCACTGGTTTTGAGTCGGTCGGCGCGGCGTCTGCCCCCAGCGGCAGACGCCGCTCTGGCAAGGGCAAAGGGGGCAAGGGAGCGGGTGGAGCTAGAGGGGGCGGTGGAGGAGGCGATGGGGGTGGCGGGGGGAGTGGGGGTGGCGGTGGGGGTGGTGGCGGGAGTGGAGGTACTGGTGGCGGCGGTGGAGGCGGAGGTGGCGGCGGAGGTGGTAGCGGAGGAGGCGGTGGGAGCGGTGGGAGCGACGGTCCTGGTGGGGGAGGTGGCGGTGGAGACGGGGGTGGCGGTGGAGGCGGGGGTGGCGGTGGAGGCGGGGGTCGGAGTGGCTCGTCCCAGCGGAGCAGCTCTGGGGGTGGTCAGCGCCAGCAGCAGCAGCAGCAGCAGCCGCAGCAGCAGCCACAGCAGCAGCAGCGCTCTCGCACCGTCCCCGGCCCTCAGCAGCTCCGTGAGTGGTACTTGCAGCGTCAGCGTGGTGGTGCGCTTGGTCCCTGCCCCTACGTTCTTCGCACAGGTGACCGTGCAGGGGAGAGGTGTGGAGGCGCCCACACAGCCCGCCGCTGCTTTGGCCGCCTGACCGACGCCTGGCGTCAGCAGTTTCCGGAGGCCGCTGAGATCCCCCGCTGGGGAGAGCTGTCTAGGGCTGGTGTAGCTATTTATGATCTTGATTTTGATGCTATTCTCTCTGCTATGTATGCTGTGACTGGTAGTGATGAGGATGACTGTTACCGGTGTTTCCCGCCCGACCCGGGCATTGGTACTGCCGCGTCAGGTACTAGTGAGGCTGCTGCTCTAGGTGCCAGTGCGTCTGTGCTCTCAGGTGCTGGTGAGTCTGCCCTCTCAGGCACTGTGTCGGCTTCGGCCTCTCACACCTTCACCCTTGACTCTGGAGCGTCTCGCTCCTTCTTTAGGGACCGCACCACTCTCACGCCGCTGAGTCGGCCGGTTGCGGTGTCCCTGGCTGACCCCTCTGGGGGGCCTGTCATGTCTCGCTTCTCCACTGTCCTCCCGTGTCCGGCGGCCCCCTCTGGCACCCTGACTGGTCTCTACCTCCCCTCGTTCTCGACGAACTTGGTGAGTGGTGCTGACCTCCAGGATGTGGGTGTCCACCAGTTCACCCCTGCTCGTCAGCGGGTGACCCACTGCACGGAGGCGGATACAGGTCGCCACCTGGCTACGTTTACACGTCGGCCAGGGTCGAGCCTGTACACACTGACCACTGCTTCTCCTCCAGGTGCTGAGTCTGGTAGGGTCCCTTCGTCTGGTCAGGTGTTTGCTGCAGCGTCCAGGTCTGGTCCTGAGTCTGCCCCCTGCTCGTGTCGTCGTCTGTCTCACGAGACCCTCCTCTGGCACCACCGCCTTGGCCACCCCTCTCTGCTTCGGCTCAGAGGCATGGCCTCGCGAGTCCTTGTGTCTGGTCTTCCCCGGTCTCTCCCTCCCCTTCCTCCGGGCCCTGGCCCCACCTGTGTCCCCTGTGTCGAGGGGCGCCAGCGTGCTGCCCCTCACTCCTCCCAGTTTCCTCCGACAGAGGCCCCGTTGCAGACGCTTCACATGGACGTGTGGGGCCCAGCCCGCGTCCGTGGACAGGGTCAGGAGCGCTACTTCCTGCTGGTGGTTGACGACTACTCGCGTTACACCACAGTCTTCCCCTTGCGCAGCAAGGGTGAGGTCACTGAGGTGTTGATCGACTGGATCCGCGCAGCTCGTCTCCAGCTTCGGAGGAGCTTTGGCTCTGACTTCCCTGTTTTACGTCTGCACTCGGACAGAGGCGGAGAGTTCTCCTCTGGCCTCCTGAGTGCCTACTGTCGTGCGCGAGGCATCCGTCAGACCTTCACGCTTCCGGACTCACCACAGCAGAATGGGATTGCTGAGCGCCGCATTGGCATGGTCATGGACGTCGCTCATACGTCTATGATGCATGCGGCTGCTCCCCATTTTCTGTGGCCGTTTGCGGTCAGTTACGCTGCGCACCAGATCAACCTCCACCCCAGGGTCTCTCGACCGGAGACCTCCCCAGCCCTGCTGTGGACGGGGAAGGTTGGCGATGCGTCGGCGTTCCGGGTCTGGGGATCTCGGGCGTTTGTTCGCGACCTGTCTGCGGACAAGCTGTCCCCTCGTGCTTCTCCCTGCGTCTTCCTGGGGTTCCCCCCCGACGCCCCTGGGTGGCAGTTTTACCACCCCACCTCTCGACGTGTTCTGTCCTCCCAGGACGTCACGTTCGACGAGTCGGTACCCTACTACCGCCTCTTCCCCTACCGCACTCCGTCCCTCCCCCCACCCCCGCTCTTCTTGGTACCAGGTCCCCCCCCGGTAGTCCCCCTCCCCCCTCAGGGTCCTGCCCCTTCAGGTGTGTCCCAGGTAGACGCGGTCGAGCCTGTCGAGGTCACTGGTGACTCTGGTGCTGCTGCGGGAGCTGAGCCTGGGGGTGCGGAGTCTGGGGGTGCTGAGCCTGGAGGTGCCGAGTCTGGGGGTGCTGAGCCTGGGGGTGCTGAGCCTGGGGGTGCTGTGCCTGGGGGTGCTGAGCCTGGAGGTGCCGAGTCTGGGGGTGCTGTGCCTGGGGGTGCTGAGCCTGGAGGTGCTACGCCTGGGGGTGCTGTGCCTGAGGTTGCTGAGCCTGGGGGTGCTGTGCCTGGGGGTGCTGTGTCTAGGGGTTCTGAGCCTGGAGGTGCTGTGCCTGGGGGTGCTTCGTCTCGCCGGGAGCCACTCTCCCCACAGGAGCTGCGTGAGTGGTTTGCCAGGCGCTGGAGGCGTGCTGCTGGTGCGGGTGGTTCTTCGACTGCAGAGGGTACTGCTGCCGCGCGTCCCGCCGGTACTCGTACTGTGGGTGCTGGAGCTGCTGGGTCTGAGAGTTCTCCTGGAGCTGGTCCTGCTGAGGGTGTTGGCGCTGAGCCTGCCGTTGGCGGTCCGACTAACAGTGCTGCTGGTGCTGCGGCTGGGGGTTCTGGAGCTTCTGGTGGTGCTGCTGGAGGTGCTGCTGGAGTGGGTGCTCCTGCCGGGGCTACTGGTGCTGTTCCTGCTGTTTCTAGCGTCGCCGCGCGGCCCCGACCGTACTTCGTTCCGCTCCTGCAGCAGGTTCTTGGTCTTACACCTCCTCCTCCTCCCTTAGAGGGTCCGCAGCCTGTCCGGTCACAGCCACAGCTACAGCCTGCCTCCCCTTTGCCTGCTCCTTCTCCCTACGCTGGTCCGACTGGAGGTCTTACTGAGCGTCGTGAGCCTGCGTCTCGTCCTGTGTCGCCTGTTCGTACTGAGCGCGCTAGTGGTCGCGGGTCGCGTCAGCGTCCTCCTCCTGTCCCTGGCACGCACCGGATGTCACTGCGTCCGTCCACTGCTCCTCTGCGTGCCCCTTTGCCTTCTCCTCCTGCTTCCTCTCTTCCTGCTCTTGCCGACCCGGAGTCGGACTCTCTTCGTGCTGCCAGTCCTACTGTCACGCGTCTCCTGGCTACTGCTGTCACTGACCCCTCCTTCGAGTCGTCTGCTGCGTCTGCCCTTGTCACTGAGCTTGTCGACTTTGCTGCGCGCTGTCGTCTAGACTACGCTGCTCGTCTTGTCACTGAGTCTGAGTCCGCCTGTCCTCCGTCCGTCGGGGGTGAGTGTGCCCTTGGCACGGACGTCCTTGAGGACAGGCAGGAGGAGTTCCAGTGTCTGGCCGCCGCTTCACCTAGTCTCGCGTCTGTACTGCTAGCCCCTGAGGGAGACCCGGATGCACCAGACATCCCGACTCCGCGCTCTTACGCGGAGGCGATAGAGGGTCCCTACTCCTCTCAGTGGCAGGCAGCTATGGATGCAGAGATGGCTTCCTGGAAGTCCACAGGCACCTACGTTGACGCTGTTCCCCCTCCTGGGGCGAACATCGTCAGTGGCATGTGGATTTTCAGGGTGAAGCGGCCGCCGGGTTCTCCGCCTGTCTTCAAGGCGCGTTACGTGGCTCGTGGCTTCAGTCAGCGGCAGGGGGTTGACTACTTTCAGACCTTCTCCCCCACCCCGAAGATGACCACTCTTCGGGTTCTGCTGCACGTTGCTGCTCACCGTGACTACGAGCTGCACTCTCTCGACTTCAGCACAGCTTTCTTGCAGGGCAGCCTGCACGAGGAGATCTGGCTGCGTCGCCCACCTGGCTTCACTGGGTCTTTCCCTCCTGGTACCCAGTGGAGTCTCCGGCGTCTAGTCTACGGTCTCCGCCAGGCGCCACGTGAGTGGCACGACACACTGAGGACTACGCTCGCGGCACTTGGGTTTGCTCCTTCCACTGCCGACCCGTCGCTGTTTCTGCGCACCGACACCTCTCTGCCGCCGTTCTACATCCTCGTGTACGTCGACGACTTGGTCTTTGCCACAGCTGACACTGCTGGACTCGCCTACGTGAAGTCCGAGCTGCAGAAGAGACACACGTGCACTGACCTGGGTGAACTGCGCAGCTACCTTGGCTTGCAGATCACCCGGGACAGAGCACGCCGCACCATTACCCTGACTCAGTCACACATGGTGCAGCAGGTCCTTCAGCGCTTCGGCTTCACGTACTCCTCGCCTCAGGCCACTCCTCTGCCTACTCGCCACTCGCTCTCAGCTCTGCCTTCGGATGAGTCCGTAGAGTCGAGTGGCCCGTTTGCAGAGCTTGTTGGCTGCCTCATGTACCTGATGACCTGCACACGACCTGACCTCGCATACCCTCTTAGCATTCTCGCACGCTTTGTTGCTCCTGGGAGACACCGACCAGAGCACATGGCTGCAGCGAAGAGGGTGTTGCGCTACTTGTGCAGTACGTCGGGCATGGGGCTAGTGCTTGGAGGGCGCAGTCCAGTGGTCCTCACTGGGCACGCAGACGCTTCTTGGGCTGACGACCAGGCTACGCAGCGGTCGTCACAGGGTTACACCTTCAGCCTTGGTTCCGGCTCTGTCTCGTGGCGGGCTACCCGCTCGTCTTCTGTTCTCGGCTCCAGTTGTGAGGCTGAGATCTACGCTGGGGCTATGGCTGCACAGGAGTTACGCTGGCTCACCTACCTGCTGACCGACCTTGGAGAGCAGCCTCGTTCTCCTCCAGTCCTGTACGTAGACAACAAGGCCATGCTGGCCTTGTGTCGAGAGCAGCGACTGGAGCACAGAACGAAGCACATTGCTCTTCGCTACTTTCTTGCTCGTGAGCTACAGCAGCGTGGACAGCTGCGACTTGCGTACGTGGCCTCTGAGGCCAACACTGCTGATGTCTTCACCAAGGCACTTGCGCCTTGTGATCATCAGCGTTGCTGCACGCAGTTGGGTCTTGTGCCTGTCTTGCCTCACTTGCTCTCCTCTTGACCTTGCTTGTACCTTCGCATATATATACTCTTGCTCTTGCTTGCTTGACTCTTGTATACCTCTATATATGATCTTGCATGTGAACTGGCCTTGTGGCCTTTGAACTTGTGCTCGGAATGCGTGGTGACTTTGTGATCCACCCTGAGCTTTGCTTTGCTTTGCTTGACTGGTCTTGTGACCCTTTGTTCTCCCCCACTTTGCCTATGGGGGTGTGTCAGAACACATAGCTTACTTGTTTGTGTAGGCTATAGTGGGGTATCCCATAGGGGGTACAACACAATTAGGGTTTCCTATTTGTACTCACTTCGTTCATACTCATTTCATTCTCGTTCAATTCTTCTCAGTGAGGTGCGCTCCTTGTGTGCTCTTTTTTTGGCTGACAGGTAAGTGGCCATTCATATTTATACTGCCATGTTTCTAACTTGTTGTTTGTTTTTTTTGCAGCACCCCTGAATCTCTTGTGGTGATGTTTTTGTGCGTTTATATGTTTAGTACTAATTCGTACTTGCCAGGCTAATAGCATCAGTTCTTGCAAGTACCATGGCGAAGAGGAAAAGAACTACCATGACCTCGTTGAAATTTGATGTTTCTGTTTTACTTGTGTTTCAGAATTGCAGGTACAAGTGGTTGAAATGGCAGCTGTGTTTGTTTTTTTTGTTGAAATGCCTTAGTCCATATTACTTAGTTGTGACATATAATCTTGATTGTGTTGGCGGCGTGATGTATGCATCGAAATCTTTATAATCATTCAATTCAGAATCACGTCGAAGTATTCTCAAAATAACATCAATCTGATTTCTTTTTGTCAGCCAATGCGCTTCGCTTACCCGACATGGCATAGACGATTCGGATTGGCCCAGATGGCATGTCTGTATCCACATTTTGCCTTGACAGTTGGCAAAAAATGTCTACACACGTGGCCATTGTATGTCCATGTGGCATATGTGACATATATGTGACACATATGTCACTTCGCACCTCACTTTTCAGTTGCTGGAACCCTCGCTATAAAGTTGCGGCAAAGTTGCGGAGCAGTCACTTTGCACGTAGCCTTGCCCCGGTAGCCTTTGACCTAGACTTTTTTTCTTCGGAGCCCAAGTTGCGGAAAAGCAACTTTGAAGTTTCTGGCACGCAACTTTTCGTGCCTTAGACTTTCGCGATGGGTTTCACGTGCCAACGAATCACCCCTCTCTTTCCGGCCATTTTCAGGTGCATGCCGTTTAGTCGAGGCGCGTTTTTCAGGTGCATGCCAGGTTGCGTACACATTTCTCAGGTTAAATTATGTCTCTCGTAATTGTACACATTGTTCAGGATTCGATAAAATTTGACACAAAAGGTCTAAAATAGATGCAATTTCGGGCTACGCAAATCGGGATCGGAATGGTTGGCTCTCGATGCTTCATTTTCTGACGTCACTCAGTGCAATGATTGCATTTCTGCCCAATTTCTACGCAAATGTTTGCTTCGCACCAACTCATATCAATGAAACGTAATTAACGCCATGGCACACCACGTTTTCCAATATACATGTACGGCAAAACATTTTTTGGTAGAGGCAATAATTTACAAACACCCACGAACGGTTTGCTGATTTGCCATGCGCAGCGTCCGTCATCTGCGTCAACAGTACAATAGATCTAGCATTAGATTCGTTCGAAAAGAGTTGGTGCGAAGCAAAAATTTGCGTAGAAATTGGGCAGAAATGCAATCATTGCACTGAGTGACGTCAGAAAATGAAGCATCGAGAGCCAACCATTCCGATCCCGATTTGCGTAGCCCGAAATTTCATCTATTTCAGACCTTTTGTGCCAAATTTAATCAAAATCTGAACAGCGTATGAAATTACGAGAGAAACAATTTAACCTGAGACAAGTGTACGCAACCTGGCATGCACCTGAAAAGCGCGCCTCGACTAAATGGCATGCACCTGAAAATGGCCGCCTCTCTTTCTGTCGCTCCGCAGTTGCCCCCTTGACGGCCGTGCAGGCGGGGATGAACAAGACGCTGATGAACAGCGACGGCACGTGCCAGACGACCATCACCTTCATGGGCGACGATGACATCCTCTGCGACACTGACGGCTACGTTACAGAATTCAAGTGAGCTTGCTTTCTCATTCCGCGTTGACCTTGAGACGACTCTAAAATCAACTCAGACGATCATGACGACGACAAACTCGGCGACTCTGACGCCTACGGGGTGACCGAATTCAAGCGCGTTCTGTCACATCCGAAAAAATCCGCTTTCTCACTTCTCCCGAAAAAAAACCTTGGGGCGTGTTACATTTTTCAAAGTCGCTGAAAGTCAGGACGACTGTTCGGACGCGTGCGAGGATTGCGACGTCGCACGGTCGCTTTGCGACCAAAGCGATGTCGTAAGGAGACGATACAAAGAATGCGATGTCGTTTATACCCAGACGAGTTCACTGCCGAAAATTGACGAGTTCTGTAACCACAAAATTTTCCGGACGGCTGGCCATTCGGACGAAAAAAATACAAAATGTAACACGCCCGTCGTGGGGATTGCCGCCTCTTCTTGTTACCCTACCAGTGATTACTCCCGTTTCATCCGGAACCTTGTGTGTGGTTCCATCTGCCTCATTCCAGCTCTCTTCTTTGTGGTTTGCTCTTGATCGCTCCCTTTCCCGCAGCATTGCACATTCCTACTTCAGCAGCGACATTCCAGCCAGCATCCTGTCCGAGATCTCTCTACTCACACGCCTCTCCCGTATGTAAGAATGTGGCTTTTGAGTCGAACCAGAAGTCATCCTGCCCGTTCACACGGACCCACGCTCGCATGCACCCATGTCCGCACACACATGCATGTACACTCGTGCCCTGAGCACCCTTCTTCGGCCTCCCTATGTTGCTCTAGTCTCCATACGAATGCAACCACGAATCCCAACGACGCCCATTCGTTTGCCCAACCATGCATTTCCACACCCATGCATTTACACACAAGGATTTATACATGCTCGCTCCACGTGCACACTCCTACTTCCACCTTCTCGCCAATGCAAATGCATTCATTCACACTCTGTCCACCCACACATCCGCCCAACCCCTCAGGAAGATGTAGGATATAGAATTTGTGGGATCCTCGCTTCCCGAAAGCTTTGGAAGCGTTCCTAGCCTCGTTTCCCTGTGAGCGACCAGTGCTTCTTCCCTTGTACTTCTGAAGTCTTGCTTTCTGTGTCCCATACGCGTCAGTAGCTGCTTCTCCTCCCTAGTTTAGTGCATCTATGAGCACGTCCCACTGTACAGTGGTACATTGTTTTTTTAGCACAGGTCACTTCATCTATACATCTAAACTCATATATTTCACATTGATGTTCATCAAGGATCCGAGTATATATTCATATATATATATATATATAGATATGTATGTATATCTTTCTCTCTCCCCCATCCGCTCCCCACTTTCCACTGACCCCCTTTCCACCTCCGCCATCACAGTGAGGTGACCAGTAGTGGCCTGACCGGGGCGCTTCCCGGCGATCTCGCCACAAGCACCAACCTCAAGCACCTGTGAGTGCACCAACCTGACGCACCTGAGAGTGTAATAACCTGACGCACCTGAGAGTGCACCAGCCTGAAGCACCTGAGAGTGTAACAACCTGACGCACCTGAGAGTGCACCAGCCTGAAGCACCTGAGAGTGTAACAACCTGACGCACCAATGAGTGCCGACAAAAAACCGAACCTGCCTACTTGTTCTGGTAACAGGCACGGCAGGTGGCAGGTGTCAGGTAGTATAGTACAGTCATTGATGCTGGCCATGGCATTAATACACATAAGAATCAACTGTAGAGACCGTTTCTCTGCTAGGGTCTCTGTCAAGCTATCGCGCTCTGCTCCACATGCATACTCCTTTCTCACAAGACTTTCTCACCCCACTCCTGACCCCCCCGCTGAGCGCAACCAGCGACCTCTTTCAAGGAACGAGTCGACTCAGATCTCGTCCCACCCCTGCCTCCCTCCCTCCCTCTGCGCAACAGCGATCTCTCAAGGAACTCCTTCAGCTCACTCTCATCCTCCATCGCCTCTCTCTCTAGCCTCGAATACCTGTAAGCAGCAAAAGCCACCTCAACCTTCGAAGCTCCCTGTGTTTCCCATACCTGTGCCTTTACTTTCTCGTGTGCTTCTTCACACCTTCTCCCTGTCTGTTGCGTTCTTTTGCTTCTCAATCTCCTGATTGCCTTGTCTTTATTCCTTCCTCTTCCTACCGCTTGTTCTCCTGTCTATTCCCCCATCATTACATTGCAGTGACCTCAGTAGCAACGTGTTGGATGGCTCTATTCCTCCGGAGCTCATGACTCTCACCAACCTTGCTCGCATGTGAGTGCTGACGCAAATTATTCGACCTTTGAGGCGCCTCAAACGGCGGCACTAGCCCTCATGGGCACTACCATTCACATGTGAGTGGCGAGGCTACTGATTTATCCCAGTGGGTCCTGGCATAGCAGCTATCATATGCCTCTCAACCCCTTTCGTTCCTTGCCAATCCCGCTCATTCACTACCACTGATATCAGTTTGTTTCATCTCTCGGTCTCAACAGCCCATCTCATCACTTCATCTCAAAACTTCATCTCATCACTCCCTCTCATCACTCCCTCCCTCACTACATCTCATCCCGTTACCCATCCTCTCATCCCCTGCGGCACGTGGCAGAGACATGCAGAACAACACCTTCAATGGCTCCATACCTGATGCCATCTCCAACCTCCAAGCCCTCACATATCTGTAAGCCTCGCCTCTCCAGCCCCTCTGAGTGGAGTCGATGGTAACCCCCACCCCAACTTGGGGGCCCCAAGTACTCAAACACCGGGGACCTTCAAGCCCTCTCCAAGCTGCACGCATAGCCGCACAAAGCTGCACGCATGGCCGCACAAAGCTGCATGCATGGCCGCACAAAGCTGCACGCATGGCCGCACAAAGCTGCATGCATGGCCGCACAAAGCTGCGCGCATGGCCTAACAGAGCTGTACCCTGGCCCCTGTA